AGCAGCCACGACTGACTCAGCGGTGACCAACAGGCAGGCAGTGTTTACACAGAACAAGTACGGAAACAATTTAAAATCTAAATAGTAAAATATCTCTAGTATATGGAGCCACCTTTATTCTCTCTAAATGGTAACACCTGTGGGCACTTAAAAAAATGTTTGACATGCAAATTCCATTCTTTTTTACAACCTGGACAAATTAAATAATCAAAGTAATTCATATTTCAATGACTGATGTTGTTCTGTGTCATACAGCAGAGAAGACGTTTCTGAGTTCTCTCTGCTTCTTCATGTTCTGATGGAGCTGCAGGACTTTTTACTGCAGTGAAACATGAGACTACAGTGAGACAAATGTGACAGGAATATGAAAAATGCCCAGAAACCTCTGAAGGAGGATTAATGCTTACATTGTGCCAACATATTTTAATTAAAAACAGAGCTACAGTTTTGAAACGGACATATTTGTAGCTTCTGAACCTCCTGGAGCTGCAGGACCAGGTGAAGCTCTGAGGTCAGTCTCACCTGGTAGTTCTGCACCACCTTCCTCAGCCTGCTTCCCAGCATGCTGCTGGACATCTCGTCGTCCCACACCTCCCCCAGAAGCCCGTGAGGCCCGAAGAACTCGGCGTCCCCGCCCCTGCCGCTCAGCTCCCCCCTCCGCCGGCCTCCGAACAGGGTCTCCAGCGCTCGCGTGAAGGGGCGCGGCAGCAGCCGGCTGAAGAAGCCGGAGGGTTCGCGCTCCCTCGACCGTCGCTTCGACGGCGACTCCCCGCCGTCGTGGGTGTGGTTGGGAGAGGAGAGGACGGGGATTGGACGGTGGGGGTCACCTGGGACGACACCCGGGAGCTTCTGAGGATCGATGTACATGGGCTTGGCTCCGCCTCTCAGCACCTGTGGGCGCCAGAGGAAAAACGAAAGACGACTGTTAGCTATTCATAGCGGTGGATTTTATATGTTTCTTCTGGCTGGAAATGGCACAAATATACAGAAAGACACCTTGTTAGAGATGGTAATAAAATTTTTCTATATATTTTTTACCATTCTTACTAAAATTACCATGTCCAAAATTATTCATTTGAGAAAATGCAGTTTCTACGTCCTGCTAATGTTCTGAAGCGTTCAAAACCCTTTAAACAAGGAATCAATAACAAGTCATGTTTAAAACCCAAAGAGCTCAGTGTGGACATCCGGTGGTGCATCGCAAGACACGGAAAGACTGTGAAGTCATATTCAAGGGTTTTTAGGTGTCAGTGAAAAGCATCATTAGAAAGTACAAGGAGCTTTGTTTTTTGACTCTTGCGCCGGTGAGAAGAATCCAAGGATCAGAACCAACATCATCCTGATGATCAGTTCTGGTAGCAATGTTTCAATCAGACACTGAAGCAGGCTGGTCTCCACAGAGGACCAGCTGGACAAAGAAGAAAGCTTCCAGTCACCAGTTCTGTGGTTCGGATGAGACGAAAATAGATGAAAGAAAGGAGAAGCATTAAACCACAAGAACGCTGTCCTCACAGTCTGACGTGTTGGTGGGAATGTGATGCTTCAGGGGAGTTTTTCAGCTGAGAAATGAGGACGACATTCGGCTTATCTGCAGGAGAACTTGGCCTTGAGCTGCACTGGACCTTCCAACAATGATCTGGAACATGCAGCCAAAGTGGTGAAGAAGAAAGAGTGGAAAGAAAACCAGTGTGTTTGAGTCCAGACATGAATCCCATCGAGAACCGAAGAACTGAAGACCAGAGTGATGGAAGGAAGCCTTCAGCCTCAAAGAGCTGGAGATGGACACAAAGAGGAACTCACAGCAAGTAAAGACTGATGTGAAGATACACTGCATGTTTTGTAATAATGCTAAATAAATATAGAAATAGTTCAAATTCATCTTAAACACAGTCTTTTCCAGCCTTTTGTAGCTGAAGGATACCTTTTGGTCTAATAAATAATCTAAGTATAAACCATTAACTATAACTGAACTTGACCATCTCACTTGTGTTTGCACGTCAACAAAAGCACTTTCACCAGACTTCACTGGTCGTCAGTTTTCCGTAAACATCCACCAACCTTGATGACTGAATGCGCTCGAGGTTGAGCCCGAGTTCGTGCCCGGATGCCGAAGATGGCGTCGGTGACGGGCACGCTGTTCTCAGCGCAGAGGGCGTAGAGCAGCGCCATGGAGATGCAGAAGAAGGCCATGCAGAGCGCTCCGCGGCGAGCCCGGCGCCTCAGACGCCACAGCAGGCTGACCCGGTCCATCGCCGCCCCGGGGATCTGCACAGGAAGCAGCAGCAAACACAGGAGGAAGTGAAGCGTTTAATCCATCGAGCTCTTATTACACCAAACATCTGAGGGCTGAAGTATGAAGAGAGATTAGTGGGCTAGCAGGTATGTTGAGCCTAAAGCCAGAGTTTTCAGTGTCACAGAGGTCTTTTTACCTGCTTGGTCTCCATGGTAACTGATGCTGTGGAGCTAACCTGGTCAACAACACGCATTCAGCTGGTGATGCAGAAATCAAATAACCGTGTTTTTATGTTTGGTCTGTTTACATGCTGGTGCTGCAGCTGATAGAACACTGATGACAACATTGACTATTCAGGTGTGGAAACAAAACCGTTTATTTACAGCGTCACAGAAATGGTAACATCAGTGGGGAGAGACAAACAAAAATGCAAAAATAGTTTTATTTTTGCACCAGCCTCTCTATTTATCGATGCAGAGACGTTTTTGCGATTTCTGTGTTTCTTTTATTTTATTTGCAAAAGTCAACAGTTGGCAAGGAAATAATGAATTAATTAGTCCGTCAATAAATAAACCAGATGACTGAGTATTTTTATGAACTCACATTTAAATAAGTAATGAAAAGAGGGCGCATCAATAACTAGGTCAAATTAAACCCCACATCAGATTACTTAAATAAATGATGGAATTTAAAAACATACTGCAAAATGTGATTTTACAAGAGAACTCAATTTTAAAAATGTAGTTGATGTTTAAACCAGGTATTTAAAAATTTAAACTCCCATTTTCCTTTTTGTTTGTTTGCATTCCTGCGACACTCTGGTCCTTTCCGTTGATGAATCTACCTTTAAATGTCAGTTAATTACTTCCACGACTTTAGTGACGCTCCATATTCTCCGACGTAAAAAATCCACAGAGCAAAAATGTGAACACTATGTGCACGCGCTCTGTTTCTGCAACAACTCTGGTCACTTGATTCAAACGCAAACCAAAGAAAACAGCAGTTTAAAATGAATCCCGGCTTCTCGTACTGTAAGCACAGAGAGTGGAAGCACAAAGGAGAACGGTGGATGCCATCGGCGCCCCGGGTGATGGGTGAAATCAGGGAGAAAGAGCAGCGAGGAAGAGGAGGAGGAGGAGGAAGATGTGCTCGATTCATCAGAGGACAGATGGAGAAAGAGAATCGGGACGAGAGAGGCCTGCAGAGAATGAAAAAACGAGAGCGAAGTGGAGGAAGGAAGCCAAGAAGGCGTCGGCGTTCTCCCTCTATCCCACAATGCATCTGCAACGCCTGCATTCGACCCGACTATCCGTCACATTTAATGGCAGTAAATGAGTTTGGTGAAGCGAGCGGCTGTAAATAACAGCAGGGCTGCTGCAGAGCTTTCGACAGGGATGAATGAGTGCATTAAAATGTTTAAAATAACCAATTTATGAACATTAGAGGTCTGAAACAACAGAACAGTTAATGCTAAAGACCAAACACCAAAGCACTTAATAAGTAACATTATCACCTAAAGTAAGTTAGACAGATCTTTAACACTAATGAAGAACAGTTAATTGATTAATTGCTGTTAATAATAAAATGTATTTTAGATTAGTTGTACTCCCTGATCTTCCTGCTTCATACTGTAGTGACCTGATGAGGTGCTCACTCGGACTGCAGGCAGTTCATGTTGGCAAGTAGAGCGCATTGTGGGGGTTCAGCTAGCAACGGGCATCATGACAAAGACTTTTGTGATGGTTAATGGTTATCAGCCAGGGCCCTTAAAATCAAAACCAGCTGCAGTCTGCTTGCTGTTGTAGCAAAACACATCTCATGAGTTTTACAAATGATTAACTGAAGGATTCAAGGATTTATTGGTCACAGGCACAGTCATACACGGTATACCGCGCAGTGAAATGCTTTGTGTACCTGTTCCACACCGAAACAATATTAAGAGATGAATAAAAACAAGAATAAACGCAGAAGAAATATATATATGTTGATAACACTGCCGGTAGTCGGTTAAGAAAACAGTTCAAAACCTGCATCCCTGTTCAAAACCTTTGTGAATAAAATATGAGACTGCACATCAGTTCTTTTCAGTGGTTTTGAGACATGCCTGAATCCTGACCGCAGATAAAAATGTGAATTTGACGCATTGAGGCAATCAAGTAACTCTGAAGCCTTAGCTGAGGAACTCATCTATCAGGCATTTCTTAAACAACCCAAGCCCTCCAGCTAACTCGTTGCCACTTCCAGCTCCCACGTCCGAGAGTGGAGAACCAGCCGGTTCTGATTCCGTCTCCGGAAGTACCTCCTGGGAAGTCTTTCAGAACCAAGTTTGCTTGGTGTTGATGTTGTGCCTCGATGCAGCCCAGCTCTTCGTCTTCACTGCTGTCCAGTGCTGTAGAGGTTCTGCTGCCCTGCGACCTTGTTGACATCTCACCTGTTCCTTAGTTGGCCAACGCCAAATCTGCTCCGGTGTTGGTAAACATTCCCCCTACATAGTAGTCAGCCAACATCCTTCCTGTTCCTGTTTCCGGCATTGGTTGTTCCTGAGTCTGTTTCTGAGTCGCCCAACATTGCCCCTGCTGAGACTGAGTTGCCTGGCTTCACCCCTGTCCCTAACGCTGAGTTGCCTGACGTCAATCCTCTTCCCGAGTCAGGGCTGCCTGATGTCACATTCTGAGATGTTGCCCCGTTCCAGAGTCAGAGTTCCCAGACATAGCCCCTGTTCCTGAGTCTGATTTTCCTGACGTCAACCCTTTTCTTGAGTAAGAGTTCCCTGACATTGCCCCAGTTCCAGATCCAAGTTGCTCGACGTCACCCATCCCTAAGTCTGAATTCCCAGAAGTCGCCCCTGTTCCAGAGTCTGAGTCAACTTCTGACACCGCTGTTCTTGAGTCGGCCCTTCTGGGAAACACCGGGCCTGAGAAACACAGTCCGACCTGCCTTTCGGTATCCATCAGTATGCGGTTCAACCAGCCCGCAGGTCCTGAGGGGTTCTGTCACATCAGAGCCTTCCAGAATACCCTTGCTGGTTTTTCCTGCTTTGAGCCTCGCTCCTGAGTGTTTCTGTTTGGCTATTATGATTTTCGTTTCCAGTTTATTTTAAATTGTTTAGTCAATATTGTTGTTAAAGATCCCTTTCCTCAAGTGTCTCTTGTGGTTCTCCCTCCTCCTTTTGTGTATCTCCCCAGTTTTTTCGATTGTCGGCCCTCATTAATTTCTTCTTTCAGAGTTATTTAACTGTGTATACGGTTTTGTGTCTTTCTTATTCGTTGCCAGTCCGTTCCTGTTTGTCGACTGTGTTCACCCACCTGTTGACAGTCTTGTGTATCTTGCGTCTTACCTCGTGCTCTTGTGTTTCGCCTTGTTTTTCTTATCTTCTGCTGGACTTGAATTTGGATTGTTCTGAGAACTCCAGCCGTCGGTTGTTTGCGACCCGGCAAGCCTTTTTTTTTTTTTAATTTTGCTGCTTTGTTGGTGTTGTCTGAGTTGTTTATTCAACCTGCCTGCCTGCTGTGTGTCTGTCTTTGGCTCCAGTTTCCTTATTCTCACGTAACAGGAATCAACATTAATATGTAACAAGGAGGAGACAGTGAGCAACAAAAGCGGTTCCTAAATTCTCTGACACATCCCAGGACAGAGACAACAGCAGAACCTGCCTGAGAATGATCATGTTTTTAGGTTTTCTTCAGCATCCCAGTAATCCAGTGACAGTCTTGTGTACAGCCATGGATTCATTACAAACAGGAGCTGCTTACGGATAATTTGACTTTAGCGGTGCAAATTTGTCAAAGCGTAAACAAGCACAGGCTAAATTCGCTGGATGAAAACTGAAGCCAATGGTGTAGGTATACTTTGGGTTCACTTTGGGTTCCAACTATTCAAGAGAAAAGAACAACGGCAGATGCAAAATCCTGTAACATCAACGTGAACATTCACAGATCACCATCATTTTTTTAACACCTTGCTGACAGCCCAGAGAGTTGTATTTTAGCCCTGTGGCTGAGCTGGTAGTGCTCAAGTGTGCGTTTCAGCCTCACAAAACCAGTAGTGATACAACGAAATGTAATCCCCGAGCCAAAGTAAATCCCTGCAGGCAGGAAGGTGGGCTAACATGACTCAGCGATTCCTGCAGCAGGTACTTGACAAGTATGCAGCCTCAAACTCGTCTGGTGCAGGGCGAACAAGTCCTTTAAAAACAAGCAACAAGGCAAAAAACAGCATTCCACCCCAAATACTCAAAAGCATGTTGTTATTTATGACCTCTGTCTGTTTATGGCTTCCTTAGGGGCAAGACTGTCGGTGGTTTCCATCATTGTTTCCTTGTTTAACCTGCTGGGGGGGTTGAAAGGCTCACTTAGCAAAATTACACCATTTATCAGAGCCCAACACTGTAACAACAGAACAAATCACGGGATTTTCAACTTTATGATGGTCCTTGAACTAATCAATCTTCCCATTGCAGATGAAAACTTAACCCAATCCAAGCTTAAAATCATGACATTTCATTAAAATCACATCATTCTACATGTTTCAATTATTGTTTCGCCAAAGACGAATTGTTTTCTGGAAACAGAATCTGAATCAATCAATCAATCAATCAATCAATCAATCAATCAATCAATCAATCAATCAATCTGTGCTTCTCTGCGCAACTGAGAAGTCATGCCTGATTTAGCTACTAATAGTGAACAGTGATGTGACAAATATTAATGGCAGAAGTGCAGG